GGGGTGTGCGGTGATTTGTATCGGTGCACGAGGACGAAGTAGTCAGAAAGGTTGTATTTGGCGCAACAGATGCTATGCTACATAATTGCGCTGGTTGAGGCATCTGCAAACCATGTTGGGAAATCTAGCACAGCATGGTTCATGTCCGTTTTCCGCGTGGACGAGCACAAAAGCACAAGTCATGCCTTGCGTCAGGGAGCAGCGCAGTTCTACGAAACACTCTACCGCTGTGCTCTTAGCTATGTTTGGCATCAGATTTTGCGGAGCTTGACAGGGCAAGTCCGTTTTTTTTTGATCGGGTTGAAGTCTCATGCTATAGGGTCTGTAGTCTTTGGCTGGCACTAGATGATAGATGGGTTATGGACGATAGCGAGGATTTTGGGTATGAAGCTTGGCCGCTGAGCCAAAACAACGCCTTTTCCTCGTACAAGATGCGAAGAATACCTAAATAGTTTTGCTTCTTGCGTGGAATCACAGTAAACGCTCTTCTGAGCCCAGCTGGATCATATGCTGGAAAGTGAGATCCGTACCGCTTGCTATTCGCACTGCGGACTGTCTTTAGTAGTGGGCCTGGTACCGTGAGTGTTGAAGCGATTGTTGGAATGCCTGATTGTCAAAATTAAAAAGACTTCGGACTTGTCAAAGAGTTTGTTGCTGGATTAAATCTTGCCTGTATGTCCAGACTATTGCCCAAGCACACCCAGATTCGTTGGGATTTTTTGAGAGAAGCACCTAGTAGTACCACCCCATACAACCACCAAACCCTCAAGTTTAGGGGGATACACACTTCGCCCCAAGCCTCCAACCCTGAGCCATCCTGAACCCCAAGCCTCAAACAGATTTGCGTGCTACAGGCAACATGAGCTCGTCCCTCCGTCGAATGGGGCGTGAGGCCGGGCTAGGGTTTGGAGCAGGAGGAGGAGCAGGAATGCAACGCCATTGGAGGTTTTGGAGACTCAGACTTGATTTGTATGTCCAGAAGGGGCGTATCCAAGAGTCATTCTTGATTTTCAACAGAAGTCTGCACAAGTTTCGCCGCATGCACAGTTCATGTAAGCCTTTGAAGAGTCGCGGAGGATGTGCAGCCCAAGCCCAGAGCCTGCGCCCTTGCCCCAGAGCCTAAACATCAAGCCAAAATCCTAGACCCTAAACCTTGAACCGGAATCCTACATCAAAAACCCCAAACATCTTCGCACTGAAGCCTCGGAGAAAGCCAGGATCAAGCAGCGGTCTACTTCATGAAGATGGCAGAGGCCGGATGCTCGGATCAGCTTACTGGTGCTTAAGTGGGAGTGGGAAGTGAATATAGGTACCATCATAGGGGTGTATATGGGGATTATTATAGGGATCCACTCCCCCACTCCCCCTTAGGAACTAGTAAGTCAGATGGAGGTCAGGGAAATTGCATGTTTTCAAAACGTTGGGGTCCTTCACATAAACCCGCCAGTCAAAAGATATGCTTCTTCTGGGCCTCCCAAGAAGGACCGCAAATTCCAGTTTTTGGAGCTCCCATCTGCATGCGCAGGCTTTGGGTTGTTCGTTTTAGGGCTTCAGGGTTTAGGATGCGTGGGTTGAGGTTGATGGCTGGGGGTTCTTCAGGGTTTTATGAGGCATGCGCTCCTGTCATGCGCACGTATTGCCCTTCTCAGCAATATTTTGACACCCCTAAATACTAGACCCCCACTGCAAGGCCCTTGACTTCCTATAACAGTTCTGCGCCCTACCATGGTCCCTGTACCCCATTCCCCCATTCCCTACTTACCACTCTAAGCCCTAAACGTACACAACCCTAAGCCCCAAATGAGGAAGTTTCCTCCGAGCCTGCTTTTCACAGTTGCAGGCATGTCGCCTCAACAAGAAGCAGCTGGTGTGAGCCTCAGCATAAGGCCTCTTGTTGATGTTGTATACCCAAACCTAAGCCCTAAACCCTAAACCCTGAGAATAATGATAGTAGAGTATACCTATTGTCATGCAGGATTTTGTCCATGCACCTTATTAGATGGCAACGAAAATGGAAGCTATTGTAGGTTTTCTTTAGGGTTTAGTGGTTAGGGTCCTTGTTAGGAAATGGGGAAGTGAGTGGTAAGGACCCCTGTAGGGATTATGCAGCGGCTGCCAGATGGATTCATTCCTTCATTCTCTACTCAGCGCCAGGTAGGCTTGATAGGTTCATTTGGGGAAGTACGGATTGGGAGGGACTTTTTTGGGGCTCGGTGTCTACATGGGCAAGATGAAGGGATGTAATGATTGGTTTCTCGGTTTGGGATCGGGTTGTAGAGTTGAGAGTTGTAATCCCCTTTCCTGATAGCAACCCTCCCGCCCAATAATAGATAATAAATACTACCCAAAATGTGAAACACACCGTGCCCTACGCCCAACAAGTCTTCATCGGAGGCCGAGAAATCAAGCCCTAAACCTAATCCTTCGAATCTACACCCAAGAGCACAAAGCTTGCAGCCTAAATCCAACAACCCAATGCCTACAGTCTTAAGCTTAAACCCCCAAACTCCCACAGGAGAGCCCAACCCTATCCTCAATGCCTACCTCCCCAAACCCTAAACCTTCCCCAAACCCTCAAGTCTAAGCCATAAGCCCACCTCAACCCAATATCCACCTACGCATACATTTCCAGCACATCTTTGTTGCCTTTACACGAGTTAAGAGCTTTATAGAGCGTGTAGGTTGACTTGTGTAATTGGAATCTCATGCCCAGGACTGGATGGACCTGTGGGACCTTGGCGTCCTCATTGCGAACCGGGCTTACCAAGCGGGCAGGCGCTGAAAGTACTTGAATGTCCTGGGTGGGTGTAGGCTCTAACGCAAGGGTCGAAATGACCAGCCGTAGAATATGGCTAAGGGGGTGAATCTATCATATTTTTGGAAGGATGATATGGGAATGACGTTGGTATTTGTTTCAGGCATTTACACTACTTGAAGGCGATGGGTTGGGGTTTAGGGTGTGGAGTTTAGGTTTTGGGTTCTGCAGTTAGGTTCAGCTTCCGCCTTGACAAAGGGCTTTGCAGGGACTGTTGCTCTGTGATGGTGTTCTCTCATGTAGTATTCCCGAAGCTAGGGGTTCTTCTTGGGTACCCCTCAAAGCTTGGCGCCTCGTGTTTCGGGTGCAACAATAGGACCTTTTGTCTTCAGAGGGTTTTCTTTCATTTGGAAGTATGAAGTAGACTTCATAGAGGGTTGAGGTAAAAGTCATGGATCATGGGCCATTATAGATAGAAAAGTCCTCTATCGGTACTATGTAGTGGCTTTCTGGGGAGATATAGACTTGGTAGGCACCTAGATGTAGGGTATAATACTTCCGAATATAGATACGGTTGGAGTTGCTCCATGTGCAACCGCTTTGTTTTGTAACCGCGCTCCTCGGAGTATGCTCTTGACTCAAGACAAACATCACTCAGAGGTTGTTTGAAAACCTTGTGCTGTCAGATCTCACATTCGCGATTCGGCTTAAAACTCTTTGGTCATGGTCTTCGTCATGCACCCCATTTGTTTCTTGTTTCGCCTTGCTACTCTTATTGCTACCACATTGACTGGCGCCTGATTTCTGTACCTCATGCTGCCTGTCACAGGCTAAGCTTGCCTCGCAGGCTGATGAACATAACTTTGCGTGTTTTGTAATCCATTTCGCGTAGAGCGTCCCAACAACAGTGGGCCGCATGACAGGCTTAATCATCCCATGTAAACCTGCAGCCCACCTCGTTGCCAGCTACATTGAGAGCGGCTTCCGTTCTCATTAGAACCGCAAAGGCTTTACATTCACCGTAGGATTCTTCTACATAGGAGTTCTCGAAAGGCTTACAGAGACACTGTAGTAGTCTCTCCAGGAATTGTGATTTCTCGATAGCTTGCTTTTCTATGACTTCGTTAACTAGAGCGCGTGGATCACCATGATTGTAACTGTAAAGCCTTAGCCACTCAGCCTTAAGTCCTAATCCCTGAACCCCGAAAGCCAATTCTCAGCCGGCTAGCTGCTCAGGTGGCCAGAATTCTACAAGTCTCGCGAAATTATCGCTGAGGCTTCATGTTGGCATCACATATAATGCTCAGGTTTCGGGATAACGTTTTCGGGTGTAGGTGGAGATTTTGAGTTTGGATACATGTTTATGCAAGAGTTGTGAGGTTGTATAAGTGGGCGCTAGTTAGGATAAATACTTTTCAAGAAAATCAACGTATGATAGTACTTCTCTTATAGTACTGAGATTCCTATTGATCATAGAGTGGTAGTTGTTTGGAGATGTAATAGTTTTGGCTTATTTCAGGGAACTCCAAAGCCCATCCTCGACTCCCCTGAAGCGGCCCTGCCTAGAATCATAGTATACGACCCCCATACATCCCCAAACCCATGTCCTTAACGAAATCCTGTGGCGTTTGTATAGGCACCCCCAAAAAGGTATCCCTAATTCTGGGAATACCTTATATGGGAAGTACTGATTAGCTGATCTGGAAGTAAATTGGAGCTGAAACCTGTCCCGCGATCGGGGGCGGAATGCAGATGCCACAGTATGTCGCAGATGAGCCTACACCGTTTTAACTAGTCCAATCCGCGGGAATTCTCAATATTTTGGCAGTGCAGATGTTACGACATTTCCTTCACAGTAGAGGTCCTAACTTACAATCAAGCACAATCTTATAGTTCCTTGTAACTACTACCATATATGACTTTATGTAATCCTAGTGTTTCGTGACATGCCTACCTAGGTGCAATCAGAAGCATGCTGCGATGCTTGAGAGTCGTTCTTTGCACGTTCTTCAAGCTCTCAAGACTTGCAGCCACGTGCCCTCTAGGTTCAGGCTGTAGGGATCAGGGTTTTGAGTTCGGCTTAGGGCTTAAGAATTAGAAGTTCAGCTTTTTCTGGGCAGTGTAAGTCTCACCCGTGAAGCCTCGACGCCCTTCAACACCTGGTTTACGGTTCACATCTAATGCAGCAGGGTCGATGTAAACAATAAGCTCACGGACCTTACCGCATTTCCGCGCATGCCATGAGTGGAATTTAAGTCTTTGGGAGAAGGATCAGGCGAAGAGACCTGAACCCTGCGTAGAACCAATACTAAGGAGAGCTAGGACAACAGAAACGTTATCAACTTGCATGCTCGAGGTGCAAACCTGAAATCCTAAGCGTCAAGCTTTGAAGATTTCGCGAAGTGCCGCTGCAGCATTTTGCTCTGAAGGTTGTGCGAGCCCAGAAGAGGATATGCAAGACTCCAGACTCAAGAAGTCGATCTTATTGTGTTGCAGGGCATAGAATGAATATGAGGCTGAATATTTTTGGAGAAAGCTATTAACTTTGAGCGTTGCGTTGTATGGTAATCAAAGTCTGGCTTTGTAGCAGAGGGCCCAGGAGGCCTGTTGTGATTCGCGCCATATTGATCCAGATGGCTTCCTCGCGGTCTGGTCTGCTGAGCCTCGGCATCCTTGATGCTGTCATCATCTTGAGTACAGGTAGCTTTATGTCGAGTTGTGACAGCAACATCTGTTTGCACTGCCGGAGGTTGTGGTGGTGATGCTATCTAGTTCGCAGGATGCTGCTTACCTCTTCTTGGTATTGCAGCCTGTTTTCGCCGTTCGTGAGATGGCTGATTGATCGGTATTTCACTTCAGGTAACCCATGAAGCGATCCTACGCATATCACCCCACTTTTACTTTAACTACCCGGGAAAAGCCTGAACCTATCTACTTGTAGCTGTGCATGCACATTTCCGTGTCCCCATGCAAGCCTTGAATAACCCAATCAAACATCTATATTAATGTCGAACCCTGAACAATGAGGACTATCATCCACCACCAATTTCCATACATATGCAGCGCAATATGATTCCAAATGTTTTAGGCCCGCAAGCCCTAAACGCAAAAGCCCCACATGTCATACTAATATTTTCAGCCTGCAAATCAGCGTCTTGTGTTGTTTTTTTGGGCTCAGGCGCCCAGGCTTCGCCGCGGAGTCCGGTTCGCCTGCAAAGGCGGGGGTAGGGAGTCTTGGATGTAGGGCCTAAGTCCTGACAGTTTAGGATGAGGCTTTGGGGGTTTAGAGTCAGAAAGAAGCAAATGGGAGGCAATGGAAAGCAAACTAATACGAGAGTTCTATGGGTTTCTGCATGCTTGGAGGCTCTGTAGGACCTAGGCGCAGGCATCTTGACCCCAGGCTCTAAATCTCTAAACCCTCCACCTTTAGTTCCAAACAAATCCCACATCCAATCTCCAGACCTCGTAGGGGTGAAAACTCAAGTAGATATAGTTTGCCTGGGCTTTGCCTGGGCTTTGAGTTAGAAGTGTATTATCTCCTCTTCCTACTATTGAACACCCAACCGCCCGCTGTATGAAGCATTTCCCACAGTACCCTGAACCCCTAAGCACTGAATGTGCCAAAATCCATAAATATCAACTTTGAGAATACATCCTAAACTCCTAAACCTTTCTTACATGCGAGGAGCCGGGTGACACTGAGTCGGACAGCGAGGCGAGGCGTTCGCTGCCTCTGAAGCACGGTTCAGCGTGTAGACTCGGAGCAATTGGAAGCTAGGACATGAAGGGGCCGTGTAGGGATCATTTTGGGATATCTAGGGACATGTAGGGGGTGTGTCTGAACTACATGAGGCAAATGCAGAAGCAGATGGAAGCCACCCAGCTATTTGGGGTTTGGACTGCTAGGGTAAAGGGTCTAAAGTTTGTAGTTTAGCTTGTTGCAAGCCGAATAAGCCAGGGATTGGGGGGAATGGAGGGGTTGATAGCAAGTTTGAGGTGGCCAACCCCTCCACCCGGGAACCCTAAATTCTAAGGAGCCTCAAAGCGAAACCCTTCAATTTCAAAGCAGGCTGAGAGTGGGCAGACTTGGACGGCTTTACTGGCGAGAACGGCGCACCAGGCTGGGGGAAAGAATTGGGTGCCTTGGACACGATTCAAGGTTCAGAGGTCAGGGTTGAGGTTTTAAGGTAGGCTTTGCGGGTTCAGGGTTAGGGTATGACAAGCAAAGAATTCTGGTACGAATAGGACGTATTTTTGTTCGTGACTGTGACAGTAGTGCAAGGAATGGTGAACGTAAGGTTTGCGGAAATCAGGCCCTGTGAGTGTGCTGGACTTACACTGGCTGTCACGGCCATTAAGTCAGTGAGTGTTCTCACGATGGCCTTAGTAGTACCAGCGCAGCTAGTGGCAAAGAGAGAGATTAGCAAGTTGAAGGGCAAGTGGCAATTGTAGCAAGACATACCAGTTTCAACAACATGACTTGTCTAAACGTGGGTCATTGACATCAGCCGAAGCATAGTGATGCCCTTCCTTGCTTTGGGAAATTAGGCGGGTGGAAGAAAGCCATCATCCAGGGCTTCCTCGTCATGGTCTAACTAACCGGAATCAGGACTTGCCTTTGGGAGTATTTCTGCCGGGGTTCACAGGCCAGCAGAAGAGGTATCAGAGCACTAGAGAACATGCTCACTGGATTTTTCAAGATTATCTCCAAGGTTAACCCTTCTTTGGGTCTGGATGTTATCTCTGCGTAAGGCTTAACTGCTGAGGTTGCAAGCACCGGTTCAGGTTTGACGATCTTGATTTTGGGTCTCAGGGTGGACTTCAGAGGTTTCGGACCCAGTGAAGCCAAATCTGAATCCGTCAAATCGGGGTGGTGTGACGCTGATGGCGGTGCTGGTGATTCCGGCGGTGCTGGTGATGCTTAGTGTGAGTTTGCAAAAGAGTGTGTGTGTGTGTGTGTGTGTGTGGGTGGGGGTGTAGGTATATGCAGTACCAGCAGGACTTAGGCTTGTGGTCTCATGATCTTGCTTCTGGCAAGAGATGCCCAGGTAAAATGGCTGGTTCCTTTCCTCCTCGTTGGCATCGCGCTGGTGCTGTGCATGTGGATGCTTCACATAGCCACCTTCTACTACGTTGCCGGGATTGTGCGATTTGAGAAAGCGCTGCCTGGATTGAAACACTGCCTGAACTTTCAATTGTAGGGTCCGTGCACGCTCCGGTGTTCGTGTCAGGCGTGGGGCTGAGAGCAGGTCCGCAGAAAGTAAGTCAGACTACTGTGGAGAGGGGCTGCCCAGGCTTACAGACTATTTCTAGGTGGAGCCGAGGCGCCAATCCTGCGACACCCGTCGTCGCACATGCTTGACTCCACATGTCCCGTTAAGATTCCCATAAAGTAAGTTGTTCCGGGGCTCATGCTAAATACCCCATAGCCTTTGATGCTAGACATCTAGTAGCACGCTTTCAAACGGTCAGAAGTGCTTCCTGCAAAGCTCTCAATACCACTTCTGTTTTCTAACAGCAGTTCTTAGCAGAATATATTGGGATTGTCGAAGCTCGATACCGCACCAAGCAGCCCTAGATCCAAGGTTTGTGCCGAACCCCGACTACAAGGTTGGTCCCGCTGAATTCCTGCGCCCTAGCCAAAATCCCCTAAACTAAACTAGTGTTTTGGTACTTTCCCGCTCCCCCAAAAAGGTACCAAGCATCTTGGGAAAACTCCCATCATTTGTTGAGACTGGGGCGACTTTGACTGAGAGGAGCTCAAAAATTGTTACAACTAGTAGTATTATACACCACTATTTATTAGTATTATATGACTGTTATTACTAGTACAACCATTATAGCCACTATGTACTATTATTGTTCTTATGATTTCTGTCAATACCCCGTTTTTCTAGCTCCATTATTACTGATGTTGCTATTATCCTAGGTTCCTAAAAGGCCCCTACATTGAGAAATCCCCAAGTGGCCGAAGAGAGCTGGGGAAGTTTTGGAGTGTTTGGAAACAACTTGGCCAACCCAGTGTTTGGGGTTTAGGGTGGAGGGTTTAGCAGTATGCAGGGGTTTCTCAGGGATTAGGATTTAGCTTTAGGGATTAGAGTTTAGGCTGTAGAGTAGTAGAGGTTTAGGCAACAGACTGCCGTCTGACTGAGGAATCACTACCAAAAATCTTGCCTAAACCTTGAGAATTGGGGGACTACAGTATACATACAGAGGTCATGCAGGATTTTTAGTATCAACATTGGCTTCAAACTGAATGCTCCATATGTGGGAATGGCCACTTCATGCACATGCCGAACGCTAACTGGTTCTGGTCGATGTCCTTCTTCTTGGGATAATGCTATAGTACTTTGAATCATAGTAATAACAGTAAAGGTAATAATTGTAATAGCAATGGTAATAATAACAGTAGTAGTAGTAGTAGTAGTAGTAGTAATAGCAATCAAATGTTGTTGTTGTTGTTCTTCTTCTTCTTCTTCTTCTCTGCTTGGCCTGCAGCTACCACGAGCCGCGAGAAGTATGAGCGTCAGGGAGTTTTGATGCGGATATCACCACACCATCTTTGAGTCCTGAACTGTAGCTTGTCATTTTGAGTGTTGTTGCAGTATGCTTGCTCCTGTTCTTGTTGTTACTTTCGTTACAACCATTATAGCAACACCTGTAGCTATATTCATTACCACTGCCCTTACAAATACTTCTGTTCACGTTACGCCTACCGTAGCCGGGTCATAGCAGGAGGAGCATCCGGGGATGTTTTCCAGTGGCCTTCGCAGCACCGACGTTTCCTACGGATCCCTTCAGGAGCCATGTACATACAGTCGATGGACGAAATCCTACATGACCCTTATATACCTAAACTCTAGGAATTCTGGTAGTGTAGCATACCTAGGGTCAGGCTTTTCTGGTTGGGCCAGTTGGGGTTCTGTAGATCTAGCAGGTTTAGGGGTTACAAAGAGGACTGCAGAAGACTGCCATTTATGGGGTTTCCTACCACCCCGTACTCCACCTCTCCAAGGTTCCTCTTAAATTGGATTTGCTTAGGGTTTGTTAAAGGTAACTAGGGGGGACCTGGTGTGGTGGTATGGACTGGTGGAGATTTCCAAGAGGATTGAAACATTGCAGGGTTTTGGAAAGCATCTTGTTACGACAGGAGGTACAAGTGCCACCGTCTTAAGCATGTCAAGCGAATCTACAGCCATTTGTACCCTAAACCCTAAACCCTTCTAGTGCCAAGTCGCTGAGGTGCAGATTGCATAGACGACACTATGGCCTTCATGAATTTTGTACATGCATTCATGTCATTTCCACATGCTGTGGCTGTTCAAGTTAGTACTCACCAGGCCCCATTTAGGGATTCCCGGTATATCATCTCGGAGACTTTTGTGCAGAGTAAAGATGAAGGCCAGATCAGCGGACTCGTCTGTCCAGAGGGCAGCGTCAAGCGAGCAGTTATTCGCAACAAGCCTTCGGGAAGCGGTTGTGAAAGAGTATGGGAGCGGGTTATTTCAAGGACTTGGTGATTTCTTGGCCAAACCCAGGTAGTACCGGAGACCCCGCCAGGTAAAGGGTTTCCAGCGCAGCTCGTGTTGGAGAAACTGTGCAGAGTGGGTGTCATAGAAGACCAGTGCTTTCAAATGGTCAGACCTGGGATGCGGGTCCTAAAAACACCTTGGCTTCCAGCCTCAAACTCTAAACGCGGGGCTGGAGGTAGTTGTCCTGAACGCTAGGGGGTTTGAGGTTCGCAGTAGTACGTCGAGCCGATCCCTAGGCTGTGAGCTCTAAGCATCCCCCGTGGTGGCAGGACCCGCTCGAAGCGCTGGCTCCTCAGAGATTCTAGCACTGAGGTTGTAGCAAGGATGTCCAATTCTTCTGGTTTCATGGCATGCCTGACAGTTGCTTTGTGCAGCACGGAATGATGCGGGGCAGCTCCAACCCATCAGTCATGTGACCTTGTTGATAGCAAAGATCCTACATGCATTTTTGCAGACACCTGCGGCTCCCGTGTAACCCCCTAGTCATATTGGGCCAAGGAGTGGAGCAAACAGGGCGTGCGCTAATGATAAAGATCCTGCATACCTCCTGGCCTCTAGCCACATTGAGATTCAGAGGCATCGGGCAGTCTCTCGGTCCTTGCTGCTTTAGCTAGTTAGCTGGGTCATGCCGAATTTGCACCAAATGCTGTAGTCACCGGATTGCCCAAAATGTCTGCCCTGATTCTGGGAGGGGATGTGAGGTTCTTGGGTGCTAGGGAACCGAGACTTGAAGCATGTGGCGCCGAAAATACATGTTATCCAAAGCCCCTAAGGCCATGGATGTTATCCTCGCAAGCCCTGCTGTAAACTGATAAGAAAGCCGTCCCCAACAACCCCTAAAGCCCCTAAAGCCTAAACCCTATGTAACACATTATAGTAGTTTCCGTTTTATTTTCCATCATCCCAATAGGGCCCTTAAGCTGTAAACCCCAAGCCTCCTTTTCCAAGGCAGCTCGGCTTCAAGGATGTGCCCCTCAAGGCCCCTCCTGCTCCACTGCCTTTGAAGTGAGAATCCAGGCTACTTTTAGGGTTTAGGGTTTAGGGTTTAGGGTTACTATTGCTACTATTCTGACTGCCAGACAGTACTGTTACTTACAAGCCTAGCTCCGGGATTTCTTGAAAGTAAAGCAGGTTATGATGGGTCTTAGAGGAAGGACACGCAGCTGCTCTTTCGGACTCAGCAGTTTTGGATTGTGTTCTGGCAAGCCCTTTGGTGAGACTCTGGGAGTATTTGACAAACCTCCATATCGCCCATATCCTACTAGACCTTAAACCTTAGAAACCCTTGAAACCCTAGGCTTCCCTAAACATCAAACCCTAAACCCGAAGTCCCAGTATCCACAGCTTGAAGCCCCAAAGCCAGGCGTTGGATGCAGTTGCCATGGTCTTCCCCTTCCTCTGGTTTGTGACCGCTTGGGCCCTGGTAGGAGCTGGTCTCAACAGTTTTTTCTGCGCAGATTTTTACGCGGTGTACTTAAACTTCACAGGGTTGCAACATTAACTACAAGGCTTGTAAGATGAGGGAAGTTTGCTCAGCGAGCTTTGCAAAGGGCTTTGTGGTTTCTGGAACTTTTGTAACGGTGGTTGCGAAGTTGCACGTGCTTTCATAGTATTCCACCTCTGCAGGTTCTGACTGGTCCAAGCGCGCTGTATTTCATTTGGGGAAGCTGGAGTCCCCAATAGCATGTAAGGTTAGACCTTCCTTGTGATTTTAATTTTGGGTCTTGCAAGAAGCATAATATCATACCAGATTCCACCATCGAAAACGGAAATCAGATCTGCGGTAAGAGAAAGTCTTTTCTTTAAAAACATATTACACTTTGAATCCTAAGCTCTCCACATCTGAATGTCAGACCCTAAACTCTCCAAACCCTAGATCCTAAACTCCAAGAACACAGTCCCTAGCCTCTGAAACCTGCGACCCAAGTCCTAACCATAGGCCCTCAATATGGGCCCCAACCTGTTGCTTGGGTTCTGGCTATTGGGGTGTAATTGCGTCTGTAGAGTTTTATCAGGTACAGAAAAGGTAACATAATCTAATCCCTAAACCCTAAGCCCTAAACCTTAATCCCTAAACCCTAAATCCTAATCCCTAATCCCTAAACCCTAAGCCCTAAACCCTAAGCCCTAAACCCTAATCCCTTTATGTCATAGAACAGGTAAAAGCAACTCCAAGGTTGAGGCCCCATCATAGTTCCAACCTCAGACCGAAGTTTTTGAAACTCTGGACCCTATCTATGCCCATATGGGGGACTGTCAAAATTATGGTCCCCTTTTGGGTCCCTATTATAATACGGGGCCTAATTTAGGGGACCCAAAAAGGGACCATAATTTTGACAATCCCCCATATACCCTGTCACAGCCCCTACATGGTTCTACATCCCTATGACGGCCTATGATCCGTTAATCCTAAGAACCTGAGGTGGTCTACTTGCGGGACGTGCAGCAGTGGACGAAGGTACTCCTGTGCCATTCAGCCGCTAGGATGCATCTGTAACCTTTCCGAAGAAGTAGGGGTCTCTTTCAAAGGGGCTATAACAGAAGGAGAGATATTCAGTGTATATATATATATAATATACATATATATATATGTATTTATATGTGCGTGTGTAGGGGGGGGGGGTGTAAAACGATGTCTACGGTTTAGGATGTTCAACACTTAAGGATTCCTTTGGGGGGCTGCTTTTGAATATTAGGGAGCCTAATTATATTTGATAAAAACCCAAATCTCCGAGATCCAGCTTCAGAGTCGTAAGGGTGGTCCCTGCTTCCGGTCACGAAATGCTTGTGCTTCGTTTGCTTATGATGACGCGATTGTTGGAGTCTAGCTGGCACTCTGGGATAATTATTCTTTCCCTTATTGTTTTGCTAAATTAAGACCTCTTCATGAATACATTTTAGGGTCCTCCAAGTAGGAGGCTAGCTAGCAAGGATGGCTAGTTCTGCCACGGCTGCTGCTGCTGCCGCCGTTGCTCCAGCTGCCATTGCACCCTACCTTTTATTCTCATTCCTTGTGCTGCTTCTGGCCGTTGCAAAGGCAATGATTTTGATGATTCTCACCTTTCGCCGTCTCGCTCACTCTTGTAATCATCTGTAGGACTGTGCACATAGAAATCCGCTTTGCTGAAGCCATCTTTATGTAGTGATGCATGTGCCAGTTCTTACCAGCGCCGTCGCTTCCAGAATCATGGTTCATGTCGGGGCAAAAGTGTGTGCATGGAGGGTTGATTATTATGGTTTCCATATGTCTCTTGCAATACTTGATTGCCCCTGAAAGCAGCTTCGTTGTCCAAGTGCACAGGCGCTCAACAACTTTCTGCCCTGGAAACGTAATCAAACTCCTGAAATCCAGAGCAATTGTTGATATTATTCCTGAGAATTCTGGCATAAGTAAGCAATCCTATGCTCCCAAAACCCGATTCCTTTTTGAAAGCCCCTCTATTGGACAGTTGCCCCTAGCTTGCAAGGTGCTGGCGTTGGGGAAGGGCTTCTTCGGTGTTTTCACCATTATGCCGCTGGGCTTGGATCTATACCTAGACTCTTGCACCCCTTGCAGCTCGGGTAAGCGTGGATTAGTTTCCCACCCAGCAATGGTCAGGAATATAGAGAGACCTTTGCCTTACTGGGCGGGGGCCTAAGCTAAGATGGAGCCTGGAAGTTGCAAAGTGTTATTGTTTGAGGGAAAGTTTGCGGGGGGTAGAGCTACCGAGGATGACCGGGAAGCCGCTCAGTGGTGCACGAATGTTAGACGAGCTATTGTCTAGGTTTGAGTCTGGGGCTTTGAGCTCGAGGCCAAGATTTCTACAGCGGGGAGGGCAGTTGCGTTGAAGAGTGACCATTGTAGAGGCCCCTTTCCAATTAATGCAGGATCAGCTTCCAATGAGGCCTGAGGCCTGAGCGAGAGGAGCGCCCCATCCCTGCCCTGCCACACGGCTGTCAGAACAGAATGTGAAACTTGGTGCAGCAGCGCAGCATGTAACTCTCCATCAAGGTAAGCCTCCCGCAATACAGCCGTAGGCCTTCATGATACTTGCTCTCAACATACCATCCTGCCATATTTTCCAGGGGCTGAGACTTCTGATTAGCAACGCCCTGTCATGCATATATGGTGGCATCCGTGCACAGTGGTGCCCCAGTATAGAGCCCAATACGCTTTGATCCTGATTGTAGGGACTGCCGACGAACGGGCGCCTAATTCATAGAAATCCAATGTAGACAGAACTCTGTAGGAAGCCCCTTGAGGAGGTGAAGGGAAGACGGCACCAGACAAATGCAACATCCCTCATTTAAGCCCTAAACCGCAAAGACCCTGAAGCCGCAACTGGTTAACCTAGACAATGAATGAGCGACAGTCTCTGTAGCCCTCACCACGACTCCTAAAGCCACGAAACCCGGTAAGCTCCATGATCACAGCAGGCATTGCAGATAATACTCCCCCTTATGACAAACTCCTAAGCCTTGCCCCCAAACCTGAAAATATCCCAAGAGTCCCCTCAAGTCGATCTGATTTATCCTTATAGGCCGTTGAAGAGACTTAAAGACACACCGATCTGGAGAAAAACACCTTGCCTCAAACGACAGACCTGACAGCATCGGATGGCAGAACTGTAAGGCCCCGTGGGGATCGTTTGGGTTTGGGGTTTGGGCCTTAGGATTTAGGTTTCGGGTTTCGGGGTTCAGGCATTCCCTTTTGGGGTCGTTATGTGAGTTACCCGGGGGATCCATCATGCATCTTTTGGGTTGAGTCTTTGGGATTGGGCTTTGGGGTATTAGAGTGAAGCAGAGTACGTTCTTCACCAGACTGAAGTTGTAATAGTAGTAGTTTCCATTTTATTTTCCATTATCCCAATATAACCCCAATATACACCCTATTCTATTATAGTAGGTTCCATTTTATTTTCCATGAGGGAGGTGTTCAGGTTTTAGGCCTTGGGCTTGGGAAGGCCGTGGGTTCGGTTTGGGGTTTAGTGCTTGTGGGTGTAGGACCCTGGTAAGCTGTGAATCTGAAGCGCTGGTTGGGGTTAGTTGTGCTGTCTTTTTGTTGGGTTTCTGCATGGTTGAACAGAGGTTATACAGGGGTTAGGGGACGTATTGTAGACCTGATACAGATGCCAGAAGCAACTAGTTGCTAGATCCTTAACCTCGAAGCTGAAACGCTGGAACCGCAAGCCCCGAACCCTGCACCCTAATAGACTGTTACTAAAAACATTAAAACCCCTATAATCCCCTATATAATCCCAGTTTCCATTTCATTTTCCATTTTCTTTTCCATTTGATTCTCCATTATTAAGGGGGATAATATCCCTAAGCCCTAAACCCTAAACATTTCTACTGGGGTTCCAACTATATAACCCTATATAACCCATTGTAGTAGTTTCCATTTTCTTTTCCATTATCCCTATATACTCCCTTAAAGTAAAGCCCTGAGCTGCCAACCTTGCCAGAAGCGCCTGGGGCCATCCGGTCTTCACTTCTTCATGGAAGAGGCGCAGCGTCAAGGTTCACAGGCTGTAGAGGGGCCAACACCCAAACAAACAACCCGCACGCTCCTTGTTTGTGACTTGGGGAGTTAGGACCATATGATGCTATATTATACCACGATACCAGGATATACTATAGTAGTTTCCATTTTCTTTTCCATTATCCCAATATAACCCCATTATATACCCTATAAAACTTATTGTAGTAGTTTCCATTTTCTTTTCCATTCTCCTTTTTTTTGCCTATTGTTGAGATGGTTTTTTTTTTATCAGGCTTGGTTGGCCTTGGGGTGCTAAGGGACTGGGAGATCTTCTACGCCTGAGATCTGCTCATCGCGCTTAGGGTTTAGGGATTTAGGATTTAGGGATTTAGGATTTAGGGTCTAGGGTTTAGGGTGAATAGCATTTTATATCATGTACACTTGAGCCCAGTATATCATCTCAGATAGGCCCTCAGCACTGGTTCTTCAATTTCTACCATTCATGGCTTAGAGACATGTAGGAGCCCAACGCATTACCAATATCATGGTCCCAGATTCCCTGCATAATTATGGCATAGATTACCCAAAATAGACTTCAAAATGATGTGGATAATCATTTAGGCCTCTACATTACATAAACCCTTCACATACCGCCAGTTTCCAGTTCATTTTCCATTTTCTTTGCACTTTACAATTTAAGTCTCCATTACTGAGGCCCCTGCAGCAATCCCTAAATCCTAAACCCTAGTGTCGGGCACCGCCTCTCTCATACTTCAAAGAACCTCCCACATGTTAAGCCTTGTGATAAACTCCTCCCGGCCGCCAGAGAAACCAGGAGACACAATCTAGTAGAGAATCCCCAAGCCTTTAAGTTGAATTTCAATGCTTTGGCCCTCATGTACATGAAGATTCCTGAGCTTTGACTTGAGAAGAACAGAAACCTGAATCAACATATCTTCTCAGTTACCGCATGCAATACTTCAAGCATGTTTGAAACCCAACTCTCATCAGGTAGACCACGGCAGTACTCGCGTCAGCTTAGCCTCCGCAATGCGCAGAAATCTCAAGTTTGAGTCAGATTTACACGGTAAATCCATACATCCCTCTGTATCCGTTTATATCCCTTTATATACCTGGATACATGTCCCTACGCTGTGTTGGAGGTGCCAGATCCTACCCTCCATGGTGTGTGCAGAGCTCAGTGCAAGTCTGCTGTTGCCTTGGATGAACATTGGACTGCTTCTATACTCCTCCAGAGTTTGTTTTTCAACACTCTTTCAAAGCTTCATGTGTCAGAATCCCGGTAGAACTCCCAGGTGGAGCTTTGATGTGTATGCGGCATGTGAGAAGGAGGACATAATCCATAGTAGCTCTCGACTCCCACCGCCCAAAATCATCGTTCGACCCCGTAGTGCTTGCTTTTGACCACAAGACCCTGTCAACGCTGTGCAGTAGATAAATTTCCTCAGCCTTACGCCCTTACTGGCAGAGTCCTGCCAAAACCCGACCCACAAAAAAGAACCCAAGCTCTAAGAAATGACAGGGCCCTAGGCCCTAAGCCCTGATTCTCAAGTCCTCTACCCTCAACCATGCGCAACCTAAGGTGGACGACGAGCATGGCCATTCTTGGCGTGGAGCTCTTGGGTCCCGACCAGAACCGGCCTATGCCTCAGAGTAGGAAATGAGGGAATGGATCCCAGGGTTTGGGGTTGAAGGTTCAGGAGTAAATGCCTTGAAGGGGGTTACATGGTGGATGATCAAGGGGACTACTGTAGGGGTTATTAAGGGGGATTTCTAGGAATTTAGACTATGGCTCATGTACTTCCCTACAACTGTCCCTGTACCCCATTCCCCATTCCTTACCATCCTGAACCTAACCTAGGATGGCATAGTAGCTGCCATGTTATAACATACCATAGTATACATAGTGTACCAGAAATATACCTTCATATACCATAATAAACTCTGATATATTATAATTTGTCGTAATATACTATAGCATAGTAGCTGCGATGTTATTGTCCACTCCCACGATCATCCCGAGAATCCAGTGGACGGGAAAAATGTTCGGAGTATCGGATTATCTTCAGGAGGCCAAAGTTTTTTTTCAAAAGAGCTACTGCCCAGTATTAGGGTTACTGTGGGACCATTAAGGGTGGACATAGTTGTCCCTTCTGTAGGTTCGTATAGTCGATCATATTGACTGTAGCTTAAGTTCTGTAGAGCGACAAAAATGAGCCGACGGGGGCTTAAGTCATGGCTGCGAGCATTGTCATGATCATGGCTGTTTGTTGTTGGCATGCTCGGGCTTTAGCTTCATGCTATCATTGTATGACTGTTCCCAACGTACTCCCGTGGGCATTGCCACTCCTGAAAGATGCTGGGATGGATGCAGGCGCAGGCCGTCTATCCAAATCATATAGGAATCTACTAGACACATTAACATCCGCATCAGGGATAATACTTGTACTAAGCTGGTGGATCCTTCAGAGGTACCTAGTAGTAATGACAATAATAGTAGTAATAAAATTAGGAAAGAGCAGTAGTATATCAATAATAGGGTGTTGCTGGCAGGTCCGGGGAAGTTGTAACCTGCTTGGTAGCTGCTCTTATACTGCACCCACTGGTGGCCCAAATCCTGAACACTTTGCACGCCAAATCTGTAAACCCTAAACCTCTACCTAGACCCCGATTTTGAGTGTTGCGTGGTTTGGGTACGGCTGTTATTTGCAGGTAGTTTGAGGTTCCTGCCAACTAGATCGACTTGAAACAGTACACCGCCATCCCCCAGAAGGATCCTTCCCAACCCTGCAGGCACCTTTAAATGGACAGAAAAGAGTTCTTTCCTGTACTTGAGAACTGGCACCGGTCTGAGGAGGTACGTGGTATATACGAACCTTGAAACCCCCACACAGCAGACCACGTGCCACCTTCTTTTGGGCATTTCCACACCCCAAGCAAGAGGATCATTCGAACAAGGAACCCCAAGAAGGCCCAGGGCTTTAAGAGCCCCCCCAATCCAACCATTTCAGCTCCCTTTCCGTGCAGGCTTTTCTCCGGGATGCGCTTTTGCGCGGTGGCTCGGCCAGTAGGGTAATATTAGGGGTTTATAATGGTTGGGGTCATATGGGGATAATGGAAAAGAAAATGTAAACTACTATAGTATATAGGGGTTATATAGGGATAATGGATCGGGGGCTTCAAGTAGTACCCCCCCAGTTATGGAGAATCAAGCGGAAAATGAAGTGGAAGCCCTAGCTCCCTTCAAAGGTGCATGTGTCATTCTCAGGCTAATATCCCTAAGCCCTAAACCCCAAATGGTAGTCAGTGTCAGTTTTCGTTTCCATTCTTACCACATATTCGCTTGGCCCGATCTAGCGTTTACAGGGCAGGAGACAAACCACTTGAAGTTTTTATCTTGACATCTGAACCTGATCCCATAGAAGGCAACGCAAATCCCTTCAATGCGCCCCGATCCCTGACCTCGAAAGCCTAACAAAAACTTGACTCTCCATACTGAACCCAGGACATGCTCTACTCCGGCCACACCTACTTCACCGTGCTCTATATCTTGGCTCTCTGTGAGCTCGTCCGAACAGCCGCTTTCCTCAAGCGAACAGTAACCTAGGTCACATTAAACGTTTAGGGTTTAGGGCTCTGGGCTGCAAAAAGCTATAGCTGAAACAGGGTGATGGGGAGATGATGTTTCCTACTAGTCAGGCTTCTACATTATCCCGGCTCACTTGTCATCGGTTGACCGTAGCATGAAAAGGGATTGCTAGGGCATATGGAGCCCCTGTGAAGCATTGTAAAGGGCTCTCGTTTTGGGAAGCTCCAAGAGTTGTGGTTGTTGGATGGAGCAATGCACGTGTAATGTTGCTGTTCATCAGAAAAAGGGGCTCGGAGTGCCTTCTTTCCAGGTTGCAAATCCTTGTTTCACTGTACATTCAACGGGAAAAGAGCTTAAACCATAGCGACATAGCCCTAGTGCCCCGAGCATACGGTGCAACACTTCAAGCTGGAAGTTGTGGTGCTGTGGTGGGCGTCAGGTTTGGGAGCCCGCAACTTAGAGGCTCAGAGTTTAGGCTTCTTGCAGGTTCTAGCTCAACTTTGCTTAGCTTGAAAATGTGGCCGTGATCTTTTGAAGTCCTAAGGATTGTTGCATTTAGGATTGGGGGCTGGAGAATTTTTTTCTGCTGAGGGATGGAAGTAAGCTAGGGTTCTGAGGGTGTAGCGTCAAAGCTTGTAAGGATTGTTTGGGGTCTTAGGTGGGGACAGCAATGGGAATAGACGGGCTCGCTGACTGTAATTGTCCCAGATCACTTGCTTTGAAGTCTTCGCATCTCAGCATTCCGCCTCTTTGGGTGTTCTGAGGGTTTTGAGTCTTCAGGCTTGAGCATTAGGCTGGGACCCCACCCCTTCGCAGCCGCAAGAAATAATGATGATCATAAGGGTGTCCTGTCAAATTGCTACTATACCGCTGCTAGTGAGTGCGAGCCTACCCGAACTTTAGCATCTCAACAGGGTTCAGGGATGGGGCCGAAGGCATGCCAGCAGAAAGCTTGGAAGGAGGAACAGACAAGCCTTGGACATTTCAAACCTGCAGGCAAGATTGCACCCGTGAAGGGTAGTGTAGCAGCTTGAGTTCTTTCTTGCAAGAAAAGGATCCCTTTGTCGGTGAGGGTGCCTGATAACACCATATTAGACATGCCATGTAGGAATACCTACAAGTCCTATGCGATGCATGCACCTCAAGGACTCTATTCCCTCTTGTCCGGATCCTCCTTGACCCACGAATCGTTAAGATGCCGTTGCGAATCCGAGGCCATGAAGTTGCCTGATTCCGCGATCTACGTAAAAAGCTTTACCCGACGGAAGCTTTGCCGCAAGTGTCGTACACTACTATACTATGAATTGTATGATAATACTAACAGTGATAACAATAAGAACATTCATTACTAATAGGAGCAGCAGAAGCAGTAGCAGGGGGAGGAGCAGCAGCAGCAGGAGGAGGCGCGGGAGCAGCAGCAGCAGCCGCGGCGGCGGTGGCGGCGGCGGTGGTGGTGGTGGTGCCTGTGGTCTTTCGGGCGGCATGCCCGTGTGCCTGTGTGCCCGTGAGCCCGTGTGGTGCTCGGGGGGTGCCCGCGGCGTGCCTTTTGGGTGTCCGTGTGCGTTTCCGTGTGTGTCGGTACAGGTCCATGATAGTCTTAAAAGAGACACAGGAATGCCAAGGTCGCATATGCACGATATGCAGCTGCGCTCTTGAAACTGCTACTATGAAGTCTTGAGAACCCAGGGGCCCAGCTACAGCAGACCTCCTCCTAAGCATCTGTTGGTGCAGGCCTTGGCCTTAAACTCCTTAAATCAGCCTAGACCGGGAACTCTACGCAGAGATCGTGCATGACCTCATGAGAGTCATTTCCCAGAAGTCCGAAGGTTTCGAGATGCCCAGGGTAGTTAGGGTCATGCTAGAATTTTAGTATAGACTGCAGGAAAGTATGAGGATATCTAGGGATATACATCGATGTCAAAGGTTTATAACGGCAAGCAGGGATGTATAGGGTTGAGCAGTTAGGCATGGGGTAAGGTTATAGTATTGTTAATATTGTTTTGTCGTTATGGCTCAAATGAAGCTGTAGCTTCAAACCATACCCGATGAGGTATTAAAGCAAAGACAGATCCAATAATTGTAAGGTCCCCGTGAGGTGCCTGTGGAGAGCCTGTGAACCCGGGTGCCCGTGGCGCCCGTGGCGTGCCTGTGAGCCCGGTACTCGTGAGCCCGGGCACCCATGGTGTACCCCTGCCTCATCGCACAGTAGGACCACCGCTGCAAAAGTGTATTCTTGTGGTGGCGCTGGTGGTGGCGCTGGTGAGGGCGGCGGCGGTTCAGCGGCGGCGGCAGTGGCGGCGGTGATGGGAGTAGTCGCAGTAGTACAACTTATGTGGCACTGGGTTTTGTGTTTCAGGGTTTGGGGCTTTAGGATAGAGGGCTTAGAGTTCAGGGCCAGAGGACTTATGGGTTTAAGACTTACAGCCCAAGATGTCAGCGATTGCGCGATGATATTGCGGGGATTATAAATGCCTGTGCAGAAGTTGTGGCCCATTTCTGGGAATATCCAAGGACCATGATCTTGGTTCCTAGCGCTTCCTTGCGCTGGATAGTTAGGTTGCAGGGTGTAGCAGTGTGGGTGTTGTTCCACTGGTCCCTTGCCCCTTGCCCGGCTCCCTCTTTGCAGCCACGTCCCCCTCTTTTTCTCCTCATTGTTACCGTGTTCTCCCTGAATCCCCACACATTAAACCCTGAAGCCCCAAACTCTGAAATCTGAAGCCTACACCCAGAAACCCCACCATTTACTGGGTTGCTGTTAAGGAACTTAAATTAAGTGACCATATTGGGGAAACCCTATTATTTCCTATTATACATTATGGTAACTTAATTTAAGTTCCTTAACAGCAACCCAGCTTATCCAGGAGAATCATCATGTTCCTGCTGCGCCTTGGCTGCTTAAAGGGTTGCACCATGCCCGGGATCTCTGTATTTTACCAGGGCTCAGAACTAATATAGGGTTATATAGGGATAATGGAAAAGAAAATGGAAGCTGCTATATCATAAGAGCGTATATCTGAGGTTTTAGGGTTTAGGGTTGAGGGTTTAGGGTGTAGAGCTTTGGATTTAGAGTTCTGGGTTCAGGGGTTCGGGGCGTAGGGCTTTGGGTTTAAGATTTAGGTCTTCGGGTTCAGGGCCAAGGGTCCCGGGTTTAGGATTCACTCTTAGGATCAAGCGTTTAGAGTTTATCATGTCTGGTCAAGGTTTCAGGAAGGTTGGTTTTCAGGAGTTTCTCAGGAATCATACGAGACAGTACCATTTCATTGGGTTTGAATGGGGGTATTCTGCGATTTCTGAAAATCAGGACAGCATGTGTCCTGATACGTGAGTTCCACTTTTAGAAAATGAGGCTTACACAGGCCCACAGCTGGCAGGCTCCGATTTCTTCTAGACCTTCTGGGGTGCCGGTGTAGGGCTCATGAAATCCTTAGAGGACCATTTGGCAGAGTTGGCGCTCCTATCCCACGATTTTCGGGACGGCTGTCCTCTCTGGCATGTGAGAGTTCCGTCAAAGCTTTCACAGCATGTCCGCAAAGGACCTCTTTGAACCATTTATCTTTTAGGGAAACCCTTTGAAGCGAAAAATCCTGAGCCTGAATCTTGCGCCCTGTGCCTTTGCAAACGTGCTTTGTTCCATCCTGGAGCTTCAACGGAGGTACATGGCCTGTATCGCGCAGCAGGGTCGAGACCTCAGCTCAAGCCACAAAGGGTTTTCCTGTCGTAAGCAAAGTATGGGAAACAGCGTATGACCCATACGGTAACAAGACAAGCCGGGCAGCCATAGTAAGTGCCGTCGGACATCGTTTGACTTCTTTCCTTACGCCGCTGATTCGTTGGGTTCAGTTTTCGCACGACTTGGAGAATCCGCACCCACATGTGGTTTGCTCGCCGAATACTTCCCGGAAGCCCCTGACCCTTGCAGGAATATGCCTTCAATCCTGTTGAAGTTGGTGTTTTCCTTCATGCACCCTGCTTGAAGTAAGTGAGTGTTGGGCTTCCCAGTTTGCCCCCAGGCATTGAGATCGTGCTGGTGATCCAGAATCGATTCCACTACACAACAGATGTGGCCATTATCTCAGCTACCGCAGCATGGAAAGTGTGGTTGCATAATGGCACAACCACATTTCCCTACCCTGCCCCACACATCCATTCATCGTGTTAGGTCTGATGTCCGCTTGTAGATATAAGGAGACTAAGAACAATGCATTCATGCGGATAGCAAGAAGGTCGGCTATAGACGCAGTAGCATGGATACTGCTAGCAAGCAACAGTGCGTATTGATCGTTGCAAACGCTTCACTCATACCTGCAGCGAGAGTACCAGGAGCAATGATAAGATTCACCGTGATGCCCGCGATCAATCAAAGCTAATCGCTTCCCCCTACCATTGTTACACGATGATCGCAAGCAACAAATATACTATCCGTGAGGACAGCAGCAGTTTCAATGATGGTAAACGAGGACAGCCACAACACTTTTCATGACCATAGCGACCATAAGAGGAGTCAATGACCATAACTGTTTGGAATGAGCTCTACGCGGGACTACGAATTTGCGTATGTTCCCGAAAGGTGTGTATTGAGGTCCATTTTTGCCTTCAGTCTCAACAGTTGAAGGATATTGTTAGCTCCCTGATACCTTCAGCCTTAGCGCGAAATTCCTACACGATCCCAGATTTCATTTTTTCTTTTCTCATTTGATTCTGCATTATTGAGGGGATATCCCTATAACCTACAGCCTCAACAGTATTTGCTTTTTCTTTTCATTATCATTAAGAGGCATGTGCACCCCTGCATTTCTTCTGAAGACCAGTCTTTGGTCCCTGCACCCCAGCGGCAAAGAACTTCATTCTGCATACGTACTTTCGTGCCCTCAAGCACAATTTGGGGTTCACAGTTTCTGGTTGGAGCCGTAGTGGACTGTAGGAAAGTAAGCTAGCATACAATCACAAAGCCTCCTTGCTCATTAGTTAAAACGTAGGTGGAATTCCCAATGAAATGGTCCACGCCCGCGCCAGTATGATCACAGCATTGTCCCTCATCCTCGAACCATCACGCGAACAGTTTTTGTCGGGAAAGCCCTCTTGTTTACTGTTTAAATTGTTCCGCTGGAATGAGGTGATGGCGGTGCTGCTGACATTCCTTTGGTGCCTCCGCTTGATTGCTTCCATCAGTGGAAAATGTGGTGGTTGTCGCTGTGCGCAGAGGTAAGTTCAGGTGGGCACAACTTGTAGGAAAGCAGTCCGCGCCAGCAGTTCCCACCAGAACATCACAAAGTACTCTCAATTGACAGCCCAGGAAGCCGAACCGTTGAACTCCAGACGTGAACAGTATGTGGTAGTTTCCCAAAATAGGGGGACCCCAATAGAGACCCCAAAACATTATAGTCCTTATTATTGGGCACCCCCAAAATGGTACCCCTAATTTTGGGAAACCCCCCATATACCCCAATGAACCCAATACAACCCAATAAACCCAATATATCTCCAATATACTATAGTAGTTTCCATTTTCTTTTCCATTATCCCAAAGAAATCTCAGCATATCTTATATCATCCCAAGGCCTGATTCAATCAGAATATGCAAGCCCTCAAGCACCTTTGATGGCGTTCAAAACTTTACTGAGAGGGTCTTGGCCCTAGAATGAGGGCCTTATAACTCGTAGGAGTCATACTGTTGATGGAGGAAATCTTGCACCACCTTAAGTCCCTAGAGTCCTAGGAATCACAGTTGTTTAGGGCCCCTAGGTGGTGCAAGATTTCATCCATCAACAGGATGCTAGTTGAATTGGGGGATTGGGGTGAGCAGAATCCTATGAGCCCTAGATTAGATAGTTGTTTCCATTTCTTTCTATTCTCCCCAAAAACCACTACGTATCCCTGTATCCCTTGCCCGCCTTAGAACCCTGAACCCTACACCCCAAACTATTCAACTTTCGAAGACTTCAAGGTTGTACCCGTAATGTTTGTAACCCTAGGTTTTGGGTCCCAGATACCCTTCTTTTGGACCATATTCCATGGTTTAGGGACCCAAACCCAAGGGTGCAAACCCTACGGGTACAACAAAAAACTCCTTGACAACCTTAGAATCAGGTACACCTCGGCTCCAATCTGCATTGCTGCTAAATGGTGGGCCGAGCTGCTATCTGAGCACTCTTGAACTAGGGGCTTAGGGTTCATGGGACTGCAAAGGGTTTATAGGGCGTCTATGGGGGTTATGTAGGGATGTGGGCAGCTTGATTGACAACAGCAATGGAAAAGAAATCAGCAACAAGTTTCTAGGGTTTAGGGTTTGTTGTGACTGGGTTTGTTCTCAGGGGCTTTTGGTTTAGGGTGTGGGATGCGGTCAGGAAGATTTTTGTTTAGAGTTTAGGAGTTTGGGGTTTAGGTAGCTTCTGTGGGAGCTATGTTATTTGGGGCTATTGCATTCTTCATGGGAAGTGTGGGCAGACAAGGGTCTTCACGGATTCAAAAACGCAAGAAGCCGCTGCTAAGATCAGCCCTTTTGTTGCATTACTGATCGCCAAGCTCCATCGCCATTTTAAGGTGTGCAAAGAGCCTTGAAGCTTCAACCCCAAACACGAATCCGTCTAATATGCTTGGGACTGATGGGACAAGAGTAAATCCAAAAATTCCCGGTCCCCATCAGGCCTCCTAAGCAGCGGTGTATAGCCCTTGCGGAAGTTTGTGCAGTTTTGGCATCTTCCTCATTTGAGGCTCTTTGAACCTTAGAACCTGTATATAACCCTAGATCATCCCTGCAAAGCCCTATCATATAATCCTCGATAATCCCTATGTAAACCCTGAAAAAAGACTTCATTTCCAAATCTCATGTGTGGACTGCCCAGGCTTGGCGAAGAGACCGTGAAGCTGCAGAGGTACGAGGCGAAGGCTCCGGCAGAGTTTCAGGGTTGAGGGGATAAGTAGGGTTTTGGGTTTATATAGGGTTACGTAGGATAAGGTAAGGGCTGCACGGGAAGTATATAAGGGTTATATAGGGTTCAGGCTTGAAGGGTGCCCTCCTTTTAAACGAACTTGGAACCGCAAGATGGAGCAATCGTATCTAATGCCGCAACTCTACACTTAAAAACTTCCTCTTCCTCTTCTTCTTTGCTTCCATGGGGCTTCGCCCTACTGTGGCGGCTCTTCCCCAGAGAAAGTTCATATCTTCTTCTAAAGGCGGAAAATCCACATTTTTGGAAGACTTCCTAAGCCTCATATACCCCATACACCAAGGCTTCTGGCTCTGGAATAAGGCTATATCGGGGTTATGTTGGAGTTATATTGGGATAATGAGGAAGAACATGGAATCCTACAATAATGTATAAGGTTGTATAGGGTTTACATTGGGGTTATTTTGGGATAATGGAAAAGAAAATGGAAACTGCTATAATGTATAAGGTTGTATAGGGGTTGTATCGGGTTATTTTGGGATAATGGAAAAGAAAATGGAAACTGCTATAATACATAAGGTTGTATAGGGGTTACATCAGGGTTATACCCACAATCCCAAAAGCTTTTGGCTGACAAAGCCGCTGCAAGCCAGGACATGGTGCTGATCCCGCGCCAGGCCCTGCAGGCAGACGTCTGGCTTCCTGTGCTGCTCGTCCGCAGATTCCCCACTGCAAGAGTTTCTGGCTTCGGAACGTTAATATAGGGATAACATAACAGTAAATAGGGTTATAAAGGTTATATATGGTTATATAGGGATAATGGAGGGATAATGGAGCATGTTCTCCATTTCCTTCACTTCTCAGTGGACTGTACAGGGACCTGCACGGGTTGCTTGTCGGACCAGGTGTTGTAGCTATGAGGGTTTCAGGGTTAAGGAGCACTGCTTGTTGTAATTCTCTCCTGCAGGAGGATATGTGGGTGGGCAACACTACTCCGGGCTTCAGCCATTTCAAGCAAGGACTCCAAGCATTCTAGCTGTTTCGGAGCAGTCCAGCTGTCGGCCAACGATGGCTTCCGTAGTCAAATCAGATAGGCTTGAACCCTTTTTGAATTCTGTCTTGAAACGAAGGTTCCAAAAAGTAGATCCACCTGGATATTCTCAGTTCAATTTTTCTTACATCACGATGCAGCACGTAGGGGCATTGGGCTTGGCAGTCCTGTTCGTCTTGGATGTCGGTCTCTTTGGACATACACAAGAGATTGAACATGGTGAATAGTGAGTCCAAACATATGGGTTGCTCTCAAAATTATGGACCCTTTCTGGCTGTAGTAGATTATATTGCGGCACCTACTAATATTGAGGGTTACCAAAATGGGACCCTAGTTTTGGGAACTAGCCATATTACAACCACAAAAAAAAGAACAAGCCAAACTGATGATTGGACACACGTCATGACGAGAATAGCAGCGGTAGTGCATTTAGGGTTACAAGCTTACATCAAATGGTAGGTGGTCAACATTGTTGTCCTTCTTTTGGGTTTTCTGAAAGCAAAAAGCCCCTAATGTTCAGGGCACCCAAAGAGGGCCCCTATACTCACTGGTTTGTAGTTGGGAATAAGGGAATATAGTCCCTATGCAATATATTCTCTTATTCGCTACTAAGAGCCAGTAAGTATATCATGGGATGACCGAAGATGCCACAATGCCAGTCCCACTGTCCAGGTTCTGCATTCCTTTCTGCTGCCTCACTGGCCACGCTCCCAGCGGGCCCTTCTGGCAGTGTCTGCTTCTCCCAACTTCACATTTTTCCCTATTTTGGGTGTCGAGGTGTCCTGTAAAGCAAGCTGTACCAACAAAAGAGGCTGTTTTATTGTGAGGTTCTGTGGGAGCCTGGGTCTGCAAATTCATTCTCGCGCCTTTTAGGGGAGTCCTTTCAGGAGATCCCATGTTGCGGCCACTCAGTTCGCACGCTACCCTGCCCTCAAACCAAAACTGGCTCCTCAGCTTCTTACGCCTACAAGCCTGGATGGAAGGCCGATTGCTTTCTTGTTGGGTTGTGGCCTCTTGCTTGTGCGGCAAATGCCGGGCGATTCCTTCTAGGTGATACGCAGGACAATCGGCACGTGTTATATACATTGTTGCAATTTGATACTGAGCCTGACACCGTGAAAGTTTGTGCAAGGATGTTTTGCGCAGTGTGCCTCGGGATTTTGCACCTTGCATCTCAAACACAAGAGGAGTGTGTGTTGTGCTGAATCTTCCGGGGATCACTGATGCGCTCTACAGAGGGAAGTTTGGGCTTCTGCGGCGCAAGAAGGCAGCAACTTAGGACATATTCAACTGCGCAGCGAGATTCCCACATGGATGGTAGCTGCTATCCATGTTCTTCTTACCCTGCCATTGCAAGCATCATGACAGTGCGCTGAAGCTGGCGGCAACAGCGGCAGCCCTTTTTTCAGTATTCCCCCTAGGTTTCTATTACAGCAGTTCTGTTCACTACAGACGCCAGTGTGTATGTGTCATTCCCCACCTAGTCCGTGTAAGATTTCGCGCTTCCCATGTAGAGCCTTCTCGGCCCAGGGAACCATCATGTCATCAGAAGCCTGGCCGGTGAGACAAGGGAGTGTTTTCTGGGTTGCTGTTAATTAAGAGGTTTGACTTACTATAATAGGCAAGCCAATTACTTACTATGCGCCCATACTAGGGTGCACTCGAATAAGTTCCTTAACAGCAGCCCAGTTTTTCAGGGTTTAGAGTTCCGGCTCAGGGTTCAGGCAGGTTGGGCAGGACTCCAGGCAGCCACTCCCAATAGAAGGCTTGCAAGGCTCTAGCTGCATTCTGTTTAGGCTTCAGTGTCCTGACATAATTCATGCTGTAAAGATTTGAAGCCCAGCTTTTTTGGCCGAAAGGAAGAAGTTGCCACGGTTAAAAGTTGGGGTGTAAGGCTTGGGGTTCATGGTACTGGTGTTTGAGGTTTAAGGTTCATGGTACTGGTGTTTGAGGTTTAAGGCCGGAGGGTTTGAGCGTAAGGGTATAGGGCCATGGGCTCGAGCGTGCTGAAATACGATTACAAGGAAGCAGTGACAGTAGTAGCATGTGCAGTCATCGCGATTATCCATGTGTTATAGTGACAACGAGCACGGCTGGAGAACCGACGCGGTCATTGCCACAACAGCCATAGAACCACTCACGGCAAGTAGTTTCCATCTTATTTTCCATTATCCTTATACAATCCCTATATAGATCATTGTAGTTTCCATTTTATGTTCCATTATCCTTATATGAGCCGGGGTCAAAATTACCGTTATTGTACAGTAGTAAGGAGGGTTGTTCAATGAGTAGAGATAT